TATGTGTGTGTGTGTGTGTGTGTTTGTGCATATATAAATTATAAATTTGATATTTGTTTAACTATGGATTTATACTTGTACAGCATATTTACATGACATCTGAATCGTATCCGCAACAAGAACTGACCCTCCTTTTCCCTCGCTGCAGTCACCATAGAGATCAAGGATAAATTCTACGAGATGTTCGGAACCCAGATGTTCCAACTATGTGAGTACGGGTTTGTGCGATCGCCAAAAGAATTCGCAAAGGCGTATGGACGGATGGTAGGCAGTGGCAAGAAGGAGGACTTGCAAAGGGGCATGCTCGAGTATCAGAAGGTGTGTGATTACACTTGTATGTATTGAACATGCTTAGTGCTCGTGACACTGGAGTGGACAACCATATCTGATCTATTGTGCTTGCTTTCCTGTGTAGGCTTGGGGTGTAGAGTTTAAGGTTCTAGGGTTTATGTTGGGTATAGCGTGTGGTAGTGTACAGGCGGATGCTGGGCGGTGGCCAGAACTTGCTACGTCGAGGTTATTAAACGTACTCGATCATGTTCCTATGTGCATACTCAAACAAGCAGAGTTTATTAAACGTACTCGAGCAAGTTCAGGTGTACATATTCAAACATGCCTTGTTTGTTTTGGCACAGTGTCTCGTACCTATCTCACTACTCCAGGCTTGATACCGCTCTCGGACCGATGGCCGTGAGTGTATCGTCGCGAGTACACACACAGACTCATACACAAACATACCTACTGAAACCCTCACTTACCTATACATACACGCATACATATCCAAACTCGCCACTTGTTTGTTCTGGCACAGAGTCTCATACCTGAGTCATGCACAGAAATTCATATTGAATCCCTTCCAATATATATGTACACACACATACATTCAAACTTATCACTGGTTTATTCTGGCACAGGGGCCCATACCTACATCACTACTCAGGCTTGAGCCCAAACTCGAGAAGATAGCAGTGGGCAACTTCAAACGGCTGCTGCGGTTTATGTCTGACAGACCGCGCGAAGAGGTGATGCGTGACGGTCAGTTGATCATCGATGGAGCGATGAACAATGTTGGCCTGCGAGACGAAGTATACTGCCAAGTGATCAAGCAGCTTATCAAGAACTATGACCAGTAAGTGGAGAAATATAAGCCATTACAAGTTGTGTGTGTGTGTGTGTGTGTGTGTGTGTGTGTGTGCCCTTACGAGTGTGTGTGTAGGATGGACAGGTGCTGTCAGGCGTGAGAGTATGTGCAAAAATCAGTGCCGAAAATGGCACGTTTTATTTCCCTTATCATATGTTCGTAGCAAACAGTAGGCGTGTACCGGTATAGGCGTGTACCGGTATAGGCGATAAAACGTTCTGTCTGTAGTCCCTCGTCTGTTTAATTCGTAACAACTCACTACTATCCATACACAGGGATAGCAAGTATAAAGGCTGGCAATTCATGCAGGCGTGTGTACAATGCTTCCCACCTTCAGACGATTTCGCGAACTTCGTGGAGATTTTCCTCAGAGAACGGGCTGAGCGCACAAATAACTTTGAGGTAATTCGAATATTCTTTCTGGTGTACGAATATATATAGTGTATATATATATATATATATATATATATATATACATATATATATATATATATATATATACATATATATACATATATATATATATATATATATATATATATATATATATATATATATATATATATATATATATATATATATATATATATATATATATATATATATATTGTGTGATGTGATATATA